TTTTATAGAATGTGTTACGGCAGACTGTGTGTAATCTGGCAGATCGGCATCTGTAACCTTGGTCATACCAGCTTGTACTAGGAGGATTTGAACAGTAGTGTAATGCAAGAATTACTCAAAACCCAAGTGATAAATCTAGATAAATCCAGAAAATCAGAGCATATGGAAACCCGCTTGGCAAGTCCCGAATAGAGAGGTAACACAAATCTTCAACGGTACTATATAAAGGAAGATCATCAGCAATCAGATCCAACTGCAAACTGAACGAGAACCAGGTGTTTGACAAAGCACCATACCAACCAGGCTATATATATATGGGGAAAAGGATTCATCAAAATACCAGAGGACACAAGTTCCTTCTAGGCTATCTGGATTGGAAGTTTGAGAACGCTGTCGGTATGCCAGAAAAGTTGGTAGTAGTCTGTAAAGTGGATGCTGGGGTTTAGGTGAACTTCATAAAGGCAAGAAGTAAGTACTGGTAGCAGTTTCGGCTTGCAAGTACTTGGCCTCGGCCTAGACATAAGTTACTGAAAAATCTAGGTGATACATGTATAGGATATGAACCACTCTAGTAGGTTTACCATGAGGATAAAGTAGTCCTAAAAGGCTTTAGCAGCAGTTTCTCTTTGGGAAGAATATCCAATGGCACTAAGTTGATCAGAAGGTTTAAATAGGTAACTCAAGTAATAGTAGGTTATAAGTATAGCATCTAGTGTAGAACCTAGTAATAGGTAGATACTTAATTAGACGCTCAAAAGACACAGATATGGCTAGAATATACCCTCATTAATATAACAAAGTCAGGAGTGGTTCTGTGACTACCCTGATATTCGCAACCGAAGTTAATAAAATGTGCCAAACCTCCAAGTGGTCACCTTAATATAAAAAAAAAAAAACTTTTACAATATAGTATACACAATACAGTCAGACCTCTAAATGCACCCTCTCTAAATGCAGCATCTCCTAAATGTATAATATAAGCCCAGACCAATAATGGGACTTATAAATAAATACACGTTTTTATTCTATAAGTGTATGCCAATATAATGCCGATATAATTAGTTTTGATTGGCTAATACTGTACGTAATTCTTTTTAGAAATGTAAAACATGTGATTACTGACCCTACTATTCATAAAAAGACTTTCATATGATTGGCTGCTTAAATCAGTTTAAAGTACTTTTCAAAAAAAAAAAATCTAACTATAAAGTCGTAGGACTCCACTATTAAAAATATTAAAAGTTAAAAATAGATAGAATTAGGTTATTATCATGGATTGTCTTCTATTTATTCTTTGTAATTTGATTTTTTTTTTTAAAAAAAAACTTTAAACTGTATAAAAAATGTAAATTAAATTGATTTAAACAACCAATCATATGAAAGTCTTTCTATGACCCTACCATTCATTAACGTTAACGTTAACTCATAAGGTCGGATGTTGATTCATTTCACTAAAAATTTTACTAATAAAGTCATAGCCTACTCATTAACGTTAATAATTTTACTATCTTTCAAATGACCTAGGTCATTTCGGACTAAAATTCATAATAAAATTGGGGTCATTTGAGGTCATTGAAGGTCATTTGAAGGTCATTTACCATCCCTGCTATGGGCTATATTTGTTATCTTAATGCCGGCCCAGCCTCGATGCATTCTGACCCAGATTTTTGGGATTGCCTTGCGCTTGTCACGGCTGAAGCTGGAAAATTTAAATACTTCATGAATTTTTTTAAAAAATTTTTGGGGTGCATTTTTTTGGCTTTTTTTTTCTTTTTTTTATAGTTAGCTTAGGATTTAGGGCTAGTTTTGATTATAAGTGGGTTAATCGAGGTCCCTAATTTCCTGCTTCAGCCGATTAATGCCAATAAATCATGTGATTATAGAGTTAACCAAGCCGATTCTAGTTTAAAAAACGAGAAAAACGAGTTCAAATTATTTTATATTAGCATAATTTCACATAATTATGAATCGCATCCCCCTTCGCGTAATGCTTGGGTCCGTATATTTAATACTTTTGTAAAAGATACGTATGTACATTACATATCTGATATGTACTGTACGTAATGTACTTACGTTCGTAGGTAATTAAAAATGTGCAACGCAACACGAGTTATGCTATATGAGCACGTTCAAGCACGTACGTACGTACGTACGTCCGTATGTATGTACATAAAAGCGGTCTGAAGATCAGTCGAGGAACCGCAGCAAAAAGATAAAAATAAAGTTATGAAACTCTTGAGTTTGAATTTGAACATTACCTCTTTGCCCATTCCGTTTTGTACAAAGCATTTTATTTTTTTTTCTAATTAAGTCATTTATATAAACAAAATATTCGAAGCTCATTAAACATAAGCTGTTATGGAAGAGAGCTCGAGTTCTATTACAAAGTTTGTAGAGGTACCTCGATTAGACGTAACTCAGGCAACGGAGACTGAAATAATTGACAAAGTCCACAAACTATGTGTTGAGCAAGGAATTCCGCTTGTGCTTGAAAACTATCACTTAAAAAAGGAATTTGACGCAGAGTTGTTTACCAAAGAATGGATTCAACGAAATTGTGGTGACCAAGGTATGTTTTTAAATAATTTTGCTCAAGTATAGTTACTTTTATCGAGTAGGTTGCCTTCCTGAATACCATTTATTCCTTCGTTTATTGATAGGATACGTTTAATCTTTTTTTTCCTTTTTTCTATTTAATGGAATAGAGATAGCTGCTCGTGATGTAAATAATATATTGGATGAACAGATGAAATTATCGGATTATTTAGATTATGTTGAGAAAGTTTCAAAGAACACGGAACCTGTGCAACAAAAGTTATATGCAAAAGATGTTACATGTCCGATTGTGTGGAAAGATTATATCGGTAGTTTTTTGCCAAGTTATTTTAGGTACAACGGAAATAATGATTTAATGTGTAAGTATTAATATCGAAACTATTTGAACCTTCAATTTTTACGATTTTTACAATTACATTTGACATTCATAAATTTTACAAATCTGAATCATAGCAAACCTGGCACCTGATCTTCGAGCTGAAAATCTCATGATTTATATTGGAGTCGGTGGAACAAAGTGTGTGTTATAATGTTCTTGATAATAATCTTTCATTTTGTTTTCCTCCATTTTGAATGATCTTATTTCTTTTTAAAAAAGTACTCCATTACACAAAGATATGTGCTCTTCATTCGGTCACAATATAATGGTTTATGCGGATCCAGGTATTTGATGTTTTTGTAATGGAATTTCATTATCCTGCGGTTTTATAATATTTTTTGCTTTTTTGTTTTTTAATAAAGACTCCTGGTCTACATGGTATATGATTGCCCGTGATGATAAAGAAAAAATGAGTGCTCTAGTACAGGCTTTGGGTCAGGATGTCGATCTTGAAAATTATTACGTACCAATTGACATCTTAGAAAAGGCGGATTTTACTGTTTACCACACTAAACAGCAAGTCGGCGACTTTGTTATGGTGCCGTCTGAATGTTGTCATGAAGTTATCAATGTGGTTTGTAATGACATAATTTTGTAATTTTGTCTTCTTATTAATAATATTTCATTTAAATAACTGTTATGCTATTTTAGGGCTCTTGTACGATAAAAGTCTCATGGAATAGGATAACTCCATATTCTGCATATCTGGGTGTTACGGGTGCTGTACCTAGCTACCAGAGGTAAGGTGGAACCTTAAAGTTTTATACCACATGTTAAAACTCATATCTCCAAATATTTAGGGTATTACGTCCTGAGACATATCAATTGAAGCGACTTGTCTTCGAGAGTTTAAGTAAATGGACTGATGCGATATCCAAGAATTTACGTTCATCAGCTGACAATTCGTCACCCAGCTTTAATTTTGTCACTCGAATTGAAAATGCACCTGGTAGAGATCTTCGGACTGAGTACAAACTTTTAATAACCGCGTACAAATACATTTTAGAACAAGAATGGGTTTCCAATGATTATTGGAATGATGGTGTTCATTTTCCATTGGTGAGTGATTCGGTATCAAACAAATCCATTCCACGTAGGGATGTTAGTGGCTTAACTTGAAGCTGTTCATTTTCAAGCCAGAGCTATAACTTCTAGCTGTGACTTAAAGCTAAGGTTCAATTTAAGCATAATTAGCTTTAAAATGAATGCAAGATAAATATTGTTATATTTTAAAAGGCGTGACACAAGTTATTGCTTAAGCCGTGGTTCATGCTATGTTTTAGGCCATGAGCCAACTGTTGAGAACTATTAAAGTTGTACCTTGAGCTTGGCTATGACTTCTTAAAGTCAAACCGAGTTACTATATTAGAGCTAATAACATCCCTAATTACAAGTAGGTTTACTTGCTGATTATTATGATTATTATTTGGGTATTTATAGACTCCAGACAACAAATCACACATGTCATGCGATTTTTGTCATTGTGATCTGTGGAATCGTCACGTTCATTGTTATGATTGTATTACAGAAGCTGGCGTTAATTACGACATATGTCTCAATTGTTATGCAAATGGTCGTGCATGTTCTCATTTGATGCAAATTCGTAAAGGTCGAAAAATGAAACGACTTCGTGATGTTTATACTCATGCAAAGGATACCTTTGAAAGAAAATTTGGAAAAGACGATGAATTAGTTGATCTTAACGATTTAACGAATGAGTAAGCCTTGTTTGCATTAACTATATATAGTATTTATGATTAACTTTCTATTGAACTTTTTATTGTGAAATCTTTTATACTTCCAGTTCAGAAGCCACGTTGGCATACATTCGTTGGAAAAAAGCTGACAGTGGTGAAGATATGGTAGTGTTTTTTTTTTTTTTTTTTTTTTTTTTTTTTTTTTTTTTTTTTTTGTTTTTTTTTTTTTTTTATTTTTTTTTTTTTTTTTTTTTTTTTTTTTTTTTTTTTTTTGAAATTTTTTTTTTTTTGATTTTTTTTTTTGAATTTTTTTTTGAATTTTTTTGAATTTTTTGAATTTATCCGTTTTTCAGATTCATATTAGGTCTTTAACCAGTTTATCCTGGTCTTCTTTCACCTGCGTAAAATAATCATTCCTCGTACTTTTGTT